GGGGTTGGGGAGAGATAGCATCAAGAGAAATACCTAATGTAGATGATTGGTTGATGGATGCAGCAAACCACCATGGCAAATATATATACCAATGTAACAAACCTGCACATTCTGCACATGTACCCCAGAACTCAAAGTAAAACAAAAAATCAAATTTTTTTTAAAAAGCCTCCAACCTCCAAAAAAAAAATCTTTTTTTTTCCTTTTTCTGAATAGTAGGTCTCAACAGTAGACTTTAAATATTCAGTAAATCATGCTATAACCAGATATGTTTTCATCTGGGCTTTGGTGTTTATTTATAGATCACAGGCACAGTAGATTTAGCATAATTCTCAAGGACCCTAGGATTTGGGGAATGACAAATCAACTTTGGCTTTATCTTAATTCACAGCTGCATTAGCTCCTAACAAGAGAGTCAACCTTTTATTTGAAACTTTGAAGCCAGGCATTTACTTCTCTTCTCTAACTATGAAAATCTTAGATGGTATCTTCTTCAAGTAGAAAGCTATTTAGTCTATATTGACAGTCTGTTCAGTGTAGCTACTTTCATCAATTATTTTAGTTAGATCTCCTTGGATAACTTGTTACAGCTTCTTCATTAGCACTTGCTGCTTCACCTTGTACTTTTGTTATGAAAACAACTTCTTTCCTTAAACCTCAAGAACCAACCCTTGCTAGCTTCAGGTTCTTCTTTGGCTTCCCTTACCTCCCTCAGCTTCTCTTGATTAGGTTTTGGCATAAGGGAATGTGCGGCTTGTTTGATTTTGTATTCAGACTTTAAACTTTCTCCATAGCAGTATTAGGTCTGCTTTTCTTTCTTATAGATGAGCACTTTTAATTTTCTTCAAGAACTTTTCCTTTTCATTTACAACTTGGCTGTATGGTGGAAGAGGTTTAGTTTTTGGCCTATCTTAGTTTTGACATGCCTTCCTCACTAAGTTTAATAATTTCTACCTTTGACTGAAAGTAATGAGAGGTGTACAATTCTTCCTTTCACTTGCACACTTAGAAGCCATTATAGTTTTATTATTTGGCCTAATTTCAATATTGTCATCATGTCTTAGGGAATAGGAAGGCCCAAGGCAAAAGAGAGAGTTGGGGAATTGACTGGCTAATGGAACAGTCAGAACACACACTAAAGTTATCTATTAAGTTTGCTGTCTTACATGGGTGCAGTTCATGATTCCCCAAAGTAATTATACTGGTAATATCAAAGACCCTAATCAGAGATCACCATAACAGATATATAATAAAATGTCTGAAATCTTATGAGAATTTCCAAAATGTAAAACAGAGTCACAAAGTGATCACATGCTGCTGGAACAATGGTGTATGCAAACTGTCCCAGTCCTCAATGAGAAAAGTGTACCAGGCTCTTAATACTTTTTATAAGACCTGACAGCAGTGACAAATCAGTCTAGCCATGCTTAAGTTATCTTCTCAGAATTTCACACAGAGCAAGTGGAAACCTTTCCGTATTGTACTTCATAAAATTGAAACCAGCTTGATAAATTGGTTTATTTTCCTCCAAGTGTGCCCTGGTTTTCGTAACACAGACATTTTGTAAGTGCACTAATGAATATAACTACCCCATCTGATTCTCTATCTTCATACTCACTCTGCCAAGAAATTTGTTTTGTGAATCTTCAACGTTTGTTTTTCTACCACCTGAAGCTAGCCATGAGACCTGGTTTAAAGTTTGCTTTTGGAATTTTTTTTTTTCTCCAAATGCACTTACTTTGATAGCTGAAAATGACCTCAAAGAATGATTAATACCCTATGGAGGTCCATGCCATAAATCTGATACAGTATGCCTGATGCAAGTTCTCTCAGAAGGAATGTTACAGCTATATTGCTGTGGAAACCTGGTGACACTGAGCAGACCACCAGCTATAAAATCTTCAAAAGGAATAACTACTTAACTTGGACTCAAATTTATGTTTACCCAACTCGTTACCAACAAAAGGCAGTGAACTATTTTCCCTAGAAACTGCATAATGTGTTGCAAAACTACCAAGAAGAATAATAGAATAATGAATGATATTCAGGCCATTTTTATTTCTTGGGTCTCTTAAGTATGTTTTTCCCTACCTCAGGGAAAGGTGGTATAGTGAGGGCAATAAATGATGTGGAAAAGCAGGTATCTAAAATCTCTTAAGTGTGTGTCTACACAAGGTACTGGACCAAAATGGCAGGTTTTCTTTAATATAGTTGAAAGAATTATTTTATAGGAGCCTTGTGTATATAAATCAACTAATATTAAATCAATTCAGTATTTCCATCTGACAGATGAAATTATAGATTAGGAAACATTTGTGGGTATGGTGACACAGGGAGCTTATCATAGTGGTTAAGAAGGTGAGTTCCAGAGTTCAGTCATAGAGATAAAAACCCTGAGTGACCATGGGAGAGTTAATCTCCTATGCCTCAGTTTCTTCAGCTGTAAAATGAAGAAAATAATAGCTATCTCACAGGGTTATAATGAAAATTAAATGACTGAATTCTTTTAAAAGGCTTGGAAGTGAACATGAAGTGTTTGATCTTCTGTTCTTGTGTCAGTTTGCTGAGAATGATGGTTTCCAGTTTCATCCATGTCCCTGCAAAGAACATGAACTCATCCTTTTTTATGGCTGCATAGTATTCCATGGTGTATATGTGCCACATTTTCTTTATCCAGTCTATCACTGATGGGCATTTGGGTGGTTCCAAGTCTTTGCTGTTATAAACAGTGTTGCAATAAACATACTTGTGCATGTGTCTTTATAATAGAATGATTTATAATCCTTTGGGTATATACCAGCAATGGGATTACTGGGTCAATTGGTATTTCTAGTTCTACATCCTTGAGGAATTGCCACACTGTCTTCCACAATGGTTGAACTAATTTACACTCTCACCAACAGTGTAAAAGTGTTCCTATTTCTTCACATCCTCTCCAGCATCTGTTGTCTCCTGATTTTTTAATGATTGCCATTCTAACTGGCATGAGGTGGTATCTCAATGTGGTTCTTATTTGCATTTCTCTAATGACCAGTGGTGATGAGCTTTTATTCATATGTTTGTTGGCTGCATAAATGTCTTCTTTTGTGAGGTGCCTGTACATATCTTTTACCCACTTTTTGATTTTTTTTCCTTGTAAATTTGTTCAAATTCTCCATAGATTCTGCATACTAGCCCTTTATCAGATGGGTAGATTACAAAAATTTTTTCCCATTCTGTTGGTTGCCAGTTCACTTTATTGATCATTTCTATTGCGGTGCAAAAGCTCTTAAATTTAATTAGATCCCATTTGTCTATTTTGGCTTTTGTTATGATTGCTTTTGGTGTTTTAGTCGTGAAGTCCTTGCCCATTATGTACTGAATGGCATCGCAACAGACTTGCTAGCAAATGCTCAATAAAAAGTATTTTAGATTTATATAAATGATTTCATCAATATAAAATATTCTCACTCATAAGTGGGTGTTGAACAATTAAGACACATGGACACAGGGAGGGGAACATCACACACTGGGGTCTGGGAGACTAGGGGAGGAATAGCAGGAGGTGGGGTGATTGGGGAGTGATAGCATTAGGATAAATACCTAATGTAGATGACTGGGTGATGAATGAAGCAAACCACCACCACCATGGCATGTGTATACCTATGTAACAAACCTGCATGATCTGCATATGTACCCCAGGACTGAAAGTATAATAAATTTTTTAAAAATGTAAATACAGTCATGGTAAATGCTGAATTAACATAGCTAATTTCACAGTTGACTATTCAAAAACACAATCTTACTAGTGTGACATGATATATGCATACACAGGATTAAACTTCCAGCTGATGAAGCTGCAAGAAATGTAACAGGGTGGACATCAGGCTCTTTGAGAAAATATTTTAGTTATAATCTAATATAATTTTCTAGGAAAGGAAACAGGTCCACAGAAATTAATTGGCTTTCCTAAAGGAACATAAATCAGTGGAAGAGCTGAGCCTTGAATGAAGGTCTTCTGACTTGGTGTACATATAGAAAACTCATCCAGACAATTTACATTTCAGGGACAGTGGTTTTTTCTTTTTTTTTTCTTTTTTATACAGAGTCTCGCTCTCTCACCAGGCACCAGGCTGGAGTGCAGTGGTGTGATCTTGGCTCACTGCAAACTTTGCCTCCCGGGTTCAAGGAATTCTACTGCTTCAGCCTCATGAGTATCTGGGACTACAGAACGCCCAGCTAATTTTTATATTTTTGGTAGAGACGGGGTTTCACTATGTTGGCCAGGATGGTCTTGATCTCTTGACCTCATGATCCATCCACCTTGGCCTCCCAAAGTGCTGGGATTACAGGTGTGAGCCACCGTGTCCAGCCCAGTGTGTTTTAGATATTGTATTATAAAAAGATACTTTTGTGTTAGCATAGGGCCGTTTTGGCAACTATAATGGCCATGTATTATGATCTCAATGTGGGGTGGGAGGCAGAACATTAAAAATTTAAGGGAGAGCCGGGCGTGGTGGCTCATCCCAGCAGTTTGGGAGGCTGAGGCAGGTGGATCACGAGGTCAAGAGATTGAGACCATGCTGGTCAACATGGTGAAACCCCATCTCTACTAAAAATACAAAAAATTAGCCGGGCATGGTGGTGCATGCCTGTAATCCCAGCTACTCAGGAAGCTGAGGCAGGAGAATTGCCTGAACCCAGGAGGTGGAGGTTGCAGTGAGCCGAGATCGCGCCATTGCACTCCAGCCTGGGTAACAAGAGCGAAACTACGTCTCAAAAAAAAAAAAAAAAAAGGTGGGGGGCGTTGGAGAAATCTTGAGAGAGTTATAGAAGGCATAAAATAACAAACTCTCAACATCTTTGGTGGACTCCTAATCTTTGCCTTCAGTTGGAGACCTGTGACTGACTGATGAAAATTGGGAAAGATTCTTGATACATGAGGAAAATCCAAGTGACTTGTGATTTTGAATGTATCCCTCTACCTACGCAGCCCAATTAGCAGAGAGTGGAAGCCTTACCGGTTTGAGGTGCTTCTGCATAGTTTCTGCCCAAATCACTGGTTAAATGTGAAATCATGCAGCGTTTCAGGTTCCAGCTAAAAACATATTGTGTGGAGATGTTGCAGCTATACACAAGAGGAAACATGAATTTCCCAGGATGAATCTAATCAATTAGCTGAAACCAAAAAACTGTAAAAAGTAATTACAACATGGTTATAGAATAAAAGGTTAATATACAAAATCAGCTGTTTTCTTGTATATTAGCAATGAACAATTATAATTTATAATTAAAACACAGTATTATTTATATTAATGCCAAGAAAAGAGAGTGAGAAAGAAATACCATGTACATACCAAACAAATTATGTACAGGATATATGGGAAGAAAACTAGAAAACTCAATAAAAAATTACAATCTAAATAAATAAGGACAGTCTATGTTCATGGAAAGAAGGACTCATTAAAATGTAATTTCTTCCCAAAATAAATTACAAATCCAACACAACCCCAGTCAAAATTTCTGCAGGTTATTTTGTAGATATTAATAAACTTATTCTAGGGTTTATGTGGAAAGTCAACAGATCCAAAATAGCTAACACAACACCAAAGAAAAGGTCAAAAGACTGACATTAACAACTTCAAGATTCACCATAAAGCTACAATATGCACAACAATGTGGTATAGTGAAAGAATAGACAAACATATCAGTAGAATAGAGAGCCCAGAAATAGACCCACCAAAATATAGTCAACTGATCTTTGACAAAGAAGTAATGGAAATTCCAAAAGAGAATGGATGGTCTTTTAAATAAATGGACCTGGAACAACTGGACATCAGTAGGTAAAACAAAAGCAAACAAAATAAAAAACAAACTGATAGACATTTTGGGTCTTTTGCAAAAATTAACTCAAAAACTCAACAATAAACATACAACACATTTAAAAATGGGCAAAAGATCTGAATACAGCTCAGTGAAGAAAATTATACAGATGACTTATAAGCATAGGAAAAGATATATCAAGTATCTTTAAGAAATTATAAACAAAACAGCAATGAAATACCATTACACATCTATTAAAGTTGCTAAAATTAAAACAAACAAACAAACATGAAATCAAATGCCAGTGACAGTGCTGAGCAATATGAACACTCAGTCATGGCTGACAGCAATGCAAATAGCTCAACTATTTTGAAAGACAGTTTTTACTTTTAAAGTTAAAAGTAGTTTTATCATGTGATCTAGCTGCCATATTCCTAGGTATTTACACAGTTTTGAAAATTTATGTGCACACAAAAACCTGCAGATGAATGTTTACAGCAATCTTATTCATAATCACCAAAAACTTAAAGCAACCAAGATGTTCTATAATAGAGGATGAAGAGACAAACTGTAGTGCATTTATGAAGTAACAAACTGTAGTGCATTTATGAAGTAAAATATTAAGCAATAAAAAGAAACATGCTAGTGTTCAATAGCACTATTGGGTGACTAAAATTAACACTTTGTTGTTTGTTTTGCTAGGACTATATTTTGAATGTTTACATTAAAAAGGATAAATGAGTTGCTGGATATGGTAATTACACTGGTTCGATCATTGTACTTTGTATACATGTATCTAAATATTATACTTAGTCAATAAATATGTAAAATTATGTTGCCACTAAAAAAAAAAGAAACACAAAATACATGTGCTATACACCATTAAAAGACATGAAAACAATTTAGATGCATATTGCAATGTGAAAGAAACCAGTATGAAAAGGCTGTGTGCTACATGATTTTAATTATATACAATTTTTGAAAAGACAAAACTATAGAAATAGTTTTCATTTACAATATTTAGTGGATCAGTTTTACAGTTTTGCAATTTTTAACATATCAGTTTTACAGATCTTTTTAGGTCAGTGGCAGTCAGCAGAGAGGGAGAGGGATAAATAGGTGAAATACATGGTACTTTTAGGTAATTAACTTTAATGGCTAATATATATTATTATGCATTTGTCAAGCCCTGTAGAATTTTTAATGTATATTTAATTGCACTTTAGGTTCTGGGGTACATGTGAAGAACTTGCAGGATTGTTGGGTAGGTACAGAGATGGTGATGTGGTTTGCTGCCTCCATCCCCATCACCTATACCTGGCATTTCTCCCCATGTTATACCTCCCCAACTCCCTACCCCACAGTGTCCCTCCCTTAGTCCCCCACAACTGACCTCAGTGTGTGATGCTCCCTTCCCTGTATCCATGTGATCTTATTGTTCAACACCCTCCTATGAGTGAGAACATGCAGTGTTTGATTTTCTGTTTTTGTGTCAGTTTGCTGAGAATGATGGTTTCCAGATTCATCCATGTCCCTACAAAGGGCACGAATTCGTTTTCTGGCTGCATAGTATTCCATGGTGTGTATGTGCCACATTTTTCATGTCCTGTCTGTTGTCAGTGGGCATTTGTGTTGGCTCCAGGTCTTTGCTACTGTAAACAGTGCCGCATGAACATACATGTGCATGTGTCTTTATGATAGAATGATTTATAATCCTTTGGGTATATACACAGTAATGGGATTGCTAGGTCAAATGGAATTTCTATTTCTAGGTCCTTGAGGAAGCGCCACACTGTCTTCCACAATGGTTGAACTAGTTTACACTCCCACCAACAGTGTAAAAGTGTTCCTATTTCTCCACATCCTCTCCAGCATCTGTTGTCTCCAGATTTTTTAATGATCGCCATTCTTACGGGCATGAGGTGGTATCTCAATGTGGTTTTGATTTGCATTTCTCTAATGATCAGAGACGATTAGCATTTTTTCATGTGTTTGTTGGCATCATATATGTCTTCTTTTGAAAAGTTTCTGTTCACATCCTTTGCCCACTTTTGGATGGGTTTGTTCCTTATAAATCTGTTTTAGTTCTTTGTAGATTATGGATATTAGCCCTTTGTCAGATGGGTAGATTGCAAAATTTTTTTCCCATTCTGTTGGTTGCTGGTTCACTATAATGATTGTTTCTTTTGCTGTACAACTCTGGAGTTTAATTAGATCCCATCTGCCTATTTTGGCTTTTGTTGCCAATGCTTTTGGTGTTTTAGTCATGAAGTCCTTGCCTATGCCTATGGCCTGAATGGTTTTGCCTAGGTTTTCTTCTAGGGTTTTTATGGTGTTAGGTCTTATGTTTAAGTCTTTAATCCTTCTGGAGTTAATTTGAGTGTAAGGTGTCAGGAAGGGGTCCAGTTTCTGCTTTCTGCACACTGCTATCCAGTTATCCCAACACCATTTATTAAACAGGGAATCCTTTCCCCATTGCTTGTTTTTGTCAGGCTTGTCCAAGATCAGATGGTTGTAATGTGTAGGTAACTAATTTTTCTAAGAGACAGAGTCTCCTTGCCCCAGCTGACTTCAAACTCTTGGGCTCAAGTGATCCTGTATTTTTCTGGAACTACAGGCACACCACTGCACCCAGTTCAGTTTTAGCTACTATTGATCCTTGCCTGCTACAATTATTGCTATGCCAATTGTGACCTTATATTTCCATTATTCCTTCTGCATTTATTCACTGGAATTCTACTACATAGAGCTGTATCTTATTTTTTATTCAAATATATATTTTTATCAATATAAACTAATGGGTATTTATTTTTTGCCATGGATCCTACTTAAGTTGTTGCTCAAAGTTTCCCAAATCTGACTATGGGAAATTCTTTCAACTTAGTTCCTGTGTCTTTTCAACATGTCTCAATTTTTCTTTTTAGATCACATTTTAATTTTCTGGCACTGTAAGAGTTTCCAGATTCATCTTACACTTTCCATGCCTCAATCCCAGAATCAGACATTTTTCCAAGGAACCTAGTATCATTTATTGTAGAATGGTAATGAGAAACAAAGATATGAATACTGGCTGTACTTATGGCTACAGTGTGTCATTTCATCTATGCTCTTTCAGTTATTAGAGCTAGGAATTATGTAACTGTGTGTTAGCATGGTTCTTCAGAGCAACATAGGAGAGGTGTGTGTGTGTGTGTGTGTGTGTGTGTGTGTGTAGGTATATGCACACAGAGAAAGTGAGAGAGAGAGAATAAGAGATTTATTTCAAAGAATTGGCTCATAAAATTGTAGGGTCTGATAAGTTTGAAATCCTTAGGGTAGTCTAACAGACTGGAGACCTGCAGAGAGCAAATATTGCAGCTCATGTCCAAAGGCAGTGTGTACACAGAATTTCTTCTCCCTTGGGGTCCTCATTGATTTGTCTTAATGCTTTCAACTGAGTATGTTGTGCATACCCAGTTTATGGTGGGTAACTGGCTTCACTCAAAGTCTATTGATTTAATAATTAATCACATCTAAAAAATGAAAGTGACTCCACAGCAACATCTAGACTGGTATTTGATCAAATATCTGGACACTATAACCTAGTCAAGTTGACACATAAAATTAAGCATCACAGTATGCTAAGCACATAGTGCCACATCCACATCTATCAGTCAATCCTTTGTCCTTTCAAAAACCACCTCATTAAGATATTGAGTTATTTGAACCCACGTAATTTTTTTTCCCTTTCCATAATGTGCTTTTTCAGTTTTCCAAGATTAGTCCTTGTTTTCTTCCATGCCTAACAAGCTCCTTTACAACTCTGGGTCATTTTTACTTCATATTTTCTGTTTCTACTCTATGGCTGGTAATGAGTAAAAATTGGTTCCTTGTATCGAATAAAACTTCATGCTATTAGTTTTCTGGAAAACTACTCGGGAAGCCTCTTACTCATTTCTTATAAAGTCCCTACCTGTTTTCTACAGCAATGTTACAGAAATTTTCATAAAACAAATCTCGGATATCATCACTTTCTTTATCCCTCTTTGAGGTGTAAGATGTGCCATCATCTCTTGATCAAAATCAGTTAAGATCTGCTAATTAATATTTGGACTCCTCCTGACCCTGGCATTTAACTTCTTACATGACCATTACCAAACTACTATCAGTCATCGGGTACATAATATATCCTACCTTTTAGAAATATGCTTATGCCGTTCTCTGTTAGAAAGTAAGCTATCTGTCTTGTTTACAGATTTGCATCACAGTTGTTCTACTTGAATTCCTTTAGTGTGTAGTGTTTCACACAGTATCATTGCAAAACAACAGATCTCAGCACAATAAATTAATGTGTGGAGGAATAAAAGAAAAACTGAAAAATAAATGTTACCAGCAGATTTCTGATAGTATACCATGAATTCATGTTTAGTTAGCTTTGTTTCGTTAACTCTTATTAAATACCCTAAAATATTCTCTAAAAATAAAGAGCTGAATTTCAGCTTAAGCTGTCATACTACATCAGAGAAATTTAGAATTAAATGCACAATGAAAAATATGTTTATTTTGAATAGCAAAAGAGAAAGTATAAATTTTATCAAAAGAGAGATAAAAATTTAAGATCTAGATGACTTACCCTTACTTTAAAAAAATATGTAAAGGGACAAGGGGGGAAAACAGAAGTAGTCTTTGATAATAATGCTGACTCAACCCTCCAAATAAAAACATCACTGATACTGGTATGACAAAATAGAGTCTAGCCTAATAGAATTCTTAAAGTATAAATGAAGTTGACCTTTAAAAGGAAACCAGTAAAATACGAAGAAAGTCAAAAACCCTTAAAAACACGAATATCTTCTTTTAAATCATGACAGACGTGTTCCCAAGAGATGATTCATCAGCATGAGAACCAACAGAAGTTCATAGCCAGGACCTAATGTTCTGGGCAAACCCACAGGATTACACTGAGGAGTGTAAAAGGAATTTACTGCCTATGGCTTCTTGTCCCCCATCCCCTGGCCCAAAATAGTAGTCCCACATAATGTTAATAGAACCTTAAAATTCTTTAAGTTAAAATTTAAATTCATATAAAACTTCCTATCATATTTCTTTAGAATTTCATAGAATTCTTCTATTAATCTATTCCCATGTGAGATACCACAATGTCGCTTTTAATTTTGAATTTCCCATGAGGTAATAAATAAGTTGAGAATCTTCTTTTTTTGCCCAAGTTATGAAAGTAAAGCACGGGGTGTAATCTTAGCTGCTGTTCTTTCATTATTTGGAAACTCTGTGCTTGGAAACAGCTAGCCTTTTGTGCCAGGGGACATATTCCTAATTATTTCATAGAATAATTTGATGTCACATTTAGCCAGGGACAATTTCTTATAGTCATGATTTGATCAGATGATAATTCACTGAATTAGCCTAATTAGACTTTTATCTCACTTTGTCCTTTGTCTTTGAACAGAGGTGATTAAAGTAATACACATTCACTTATAATTTTTAAAGCCACCAAGTTAAAATTAATTTTAAAATAATGTCTTAGCTGGATTAGTTTTCTTATTTGGTAACCAGACAGAAACACTAAAAGACTATCTATTAACCA